GTCGACTTGATTGTACAGATACTATTTAAACTGAACTGAGCTGGATGATGACATCACTGAATTCAGTGATGAACTGCATTTAACTGAAAATTGAGTGTTTACTAATGTCCTTTTGCATTGACACACTATTTTCCTATTTGATACTGTAAAGCTGCTTTGGCACAATCTGTATTGTTAAAAGCGCTATATAAATAAAGGTGACTTGACTTGACTTGACTTAAAATCACAGGGCAAAAAGAAAAAGCTCACTTGACCAAGCATGTTTAGACACAACTGAGGTCAACTGACTATCTGAAAACTAAGATTAACTATGATTGTTGTCTATGCCATATTTTCTCTCTCTCTCTCTCTCTCTCTCTCTCTCTCTCTCTCTATATATATATATATATATATATATGCACACACACACACACAGTATGCATGTATGTATATATAAATTCTGTCACCATTTGCTTTCATTTATGTTATTCCAATCCAAACCTGTATTACTTTCTGTCCTCTGAGGAACACAACATATCATATTTTGTCATAATATCTTTGGAATGTGAGTAAATGATTATTTTTGGGTGAACTATCCCTTTAAATAATGATGTTGTTGTTCTGTGACTTACCTGTGGTAACAAAACCCACACGAGTGGAGTGTTCCAGCAGCCACAATTCAGCCGGAAGTTTAATATTCTAATGTGTGAAAGAAGGTACTTTAAAAACATCAAAACTAAAACACTTTAATATATGAAGTACATTCATATTCTCCAATATTGTGTTCCACTGTGAACTGTTACCTCTAATAGTCATGACACCTACACTGTACATCGACTGATTCATTCACCCTCTTAAACGCTGTCTGACATTTCCCCTCTTCAACAGTCGCCCACATCAGGAAGTCACTATAGTTTGAATTTACCCATATGTGGATTACTGACACACAAATATCATTCTCTTAACAGATCTGTTGTAGAAACCTGGGGATTTTTGTTTTTGGTGGAGATTCTTGTAAAAGTATAGAGAAATGAACTGTAAAATTAGGAACATCTGCTTGGTCTCTGAGTGCACGTAGTCTTTTTTTTTTCGGTTCCTCCATATTAGAAAAAGGGGAAGGAAAGGAAGTCCTATAAACAACCATAATGTAAATAATATACAAATATTTTATATTGCAAATATTTTAATATTTTATATTAAGTTATGAAGCACTCTTTCCATTATAAGTATACTTGTATCACTTAGAGCTTGGGCAATACAAATGAATCTATACAGTCTTGGCAATGCAAATTAGACTCCCAGCATGCCTTATAAGCCGGTCACTTTTCCTCCAAATCATTAATGAATGAGTCAGTGTTTATATATATACAGTGGGTACGGAAAGTATTCAGACCCCCTTAAATTTTTCACTCTTTGTTATATTGCAGCCATTTGCTAACTTTCCGTACCCACTGTATATATATATATATATATATATATATGATTTCATTACCAATGCCATACATAG